TATATATATAAATAGAGAAGGCCGTGGGAGGGGATACCTGTGCCTACAGCGTCTCAATCTTACCTTGTCCTCTGTCGTCACGCTTGACAAGAGTTGTCGGGAGCAGAATCCCGTTGCTGTCCATGCCGAGGTCTGTGCACTTGTCGGTGGCAAGTCCGATGTTCTGATCTACAAAGGTGGCTCCGTTATACAAGGACATAGCGTGCATGGGCATTTACAGCTCTCTCTGCAGCAGAACAATCTGAGAGGCCAGCGGGGCCTTCTCCATGACTACCAGCAGTACGCCGAAGGAAATGATGGCGGTGACATAAGCTTTTATAGAGAACTAGGAGTAAAGATTGGCGCAGCCAGGCATGAGGTGGACACCGGACGCACTAGATGTTCTGTAAACCAGCATAGGACTGGCACTATAAGCCGCGCAACACTGAAGAATAATTTAAAGGGGAAATCTGAGCACCTGTGGATGTGCCCGAAGTGCTGTGAAGATATTCCAACTCAGCTAGTTCGTTATTTTTTTTACTCTTGCATAGCCAGTTGTATATTTGAAAAAAAAACGCACACACTGACCTGATAATTGAATGACAAGGAGTTGCCACCCTTCTACCTCGCTACTTCTTTCTTTGATTGCAAATTAATTCATGTTTATTTGTTCCCGAGGAATATTAATGCAGGGGGGGGGGGGGGGTGGGACAATCGTCAAGAAAACCTTACACTGTACATTTGATAAATTGTACGAATGGACTTAAGAATTTGGGACATAACGAGAGGAGAAATAAGGTTCAAAAACGTGTCGGGGGAAGATGTGGCCGACTTGCCAAAATAGCACGTTTGCACCCCCGTGGGGTTCCGGGGCCCCTTTGTGGGGAAAACAAGAATAGACCCACTGCCTCCCCAAAAGCATGTCATAAGAGTCAACTAACTGGGGAGCTTTCTTTGAAGTCGGAGTGCATCTGCCGGAGAGGCAAGGAACCAGCAGTCTGTATTCAAGAGAATGAGATCTGTAAACTGATGCACACGCAACACTCAGGTTCTGAAGCAGGACTGCAGTTCAGTAGTGGACGAGCAACCAGAGTGTACAGCTGTGAACGCGAAGAAGCACGTTTGTGGCAAGCTAAATATTTTGGTTGATTTGGCACAGACGCCCTATGCGAGATTGGGGACAGTGTGTTCTGCCGATTAACTCCCCCCAAAAAAACTCGCCTGGCTATGCTTTTCTGTAAGGGGAACCAAGATCGTCCGTGCAAGGAAGGCCTTCTGCAGGATGGAGAAGGCATTGGCCCAAGTCGTCGAGTCTGCACGGCGAAACAAGAAATCGCACAAGCCCATCGACATGGCACACAACGATGACAATGAACTCTTCTAAAAAAAAGTCGCAATATTCAATCCAAGATGGCCGCGCCCATTTTATATATTTTCTTCTAATACTCAAAGCGGCATTTGTGAATAATATTCGTTAATGGATAGTTAATGTCAATGGCTATTGCTTGTTGTATAAATGATCACATATTTTTTTGGCATTTAAATTAACTCATCGTGTAATAGTAATGCTCTCTGATGTTGTTTATTATTATTTGTTAAAATTACTAATAATAGATAGCTACAGATTAGTTCAGTCAGATTTATTTACACTTTAGAGTGTCAGAGAGGTGGTCACTGTCGGTGGTCAGTTGTTGTCGAGTGGACCACAGAGTTGTGCCCCTGGTTTTCGGGAAAGCCACGTAGTCCATATAAAAACATTGATCCTGCATAATTCTGAGGCTGGTTTTTACTCAGACATCACATCAATATATAGCATATAGTATAGCTTGCTGTGTTTGGCTTCTTTCAGACTTCTTCTTCGCGTTCACCGGCTGTAAACTCCGGCGAAAAGTGCTGGTTGTTCATCCACTTCTGGACTGCAGTCCTTTTTTTAAAAGAAATTCAGAACTGAGTGTTGCATGTATATCCGTTTTACAGATCTGACTTATTTGAATGCAGACTGCTGGTTCCTTGCCTCTCAGGCAGATGCACTCCAACTTCAAAGGAAGCTCCCACTTAGTCGACTCCTATGACATGCTTTTGGGTAGGCAATGGGTCTATTCTTGTATTCCATAGAATAGGGCCCCCGGAACCCACATGTGGATCTTTCAAACTGAAACTCATGAAACTGCGACTGTCTATCTCCAGAAGAGTCAGATTAGAGTTTACAGTACGGTTATAGATAGTATTAACTCTTTCAGGACCACATTTATTCTTGGGTTTAGACAGCATTAATTCTACTGCAACATGACAAAGCTAAAACCTTTCTGAAAAAAAAAGTATTGGCTGTATAGGGACATATATCAAATTAAAGAGAAATCTAAACTATTTAAATGTCAGCATTTTATCAGATATGAAATTTATAAAACTCTGTGCCTACCTTACCGTATTTAAAAAAAAAATTTTAATAGCAACATTTTATCCATTTCTACGAATTCACATGCCTTCTCTGTTCAGTTATGTATCAGCTAGTTTTTATTTGAAACATTTTATTGAAATACTTTGGATGTTATGACCATTTTTGTATGGCATGTCATATTTCACAACCAAAATTGTGGAAACAGCTGATCCCGCAGCAGAGATTATCAGATTGAAATATTTTGTTCTATCTTCATCCTAACCTGTTTATCGACACAGGTGCATTATCAATCATAATATCAAGACTATTTCACTATCTGGCTGAAATTAAACAATAACAGAGCAGTATGAACAGTTCTATACCTTTTCCCTTATCATTTGGTATAGAGAAATCATGTAAAAATTGTATCACTTCTAAATAACTTGTTAAAAATCAGAGAGGGATGCAAACACCATGCCTAACATCAGAAACCAAAGGACTTCCTGACGCTAATCCTAGTTTTTCAAAACAGTTCATACAAATTCGGTTTTTCCCGCAAACAGAACAAAATTAGAGTGTCTGTATGAAGTGCCAGTATACTGGTCAATAGTCAATCTGGATAAATCCAAACACTGGCCGCTCCGCCACGATGACTCCCTGACAGCAGTATAGTAAACCATGCATTATATCCTGGGTCTGCCGACGATGACAAGCAGATACAAAGTGGCACAGGTCAAGGCTTACATGAGGGTATCAGCAGACGTTAACCGCCCAGTGCACAAAGCTATACACAACACAAAAGGAACACGTCTCAAAAGAGGCCGCTCTTGGATGGCAAAGGCTGAGGACTTAATCCAGCAGGTATGTGGCCTAGACGTGATCAGTCACGGAAAAGAATGGACGAATACACCAGTAGACATGCATGGCATCTCCAAGGTTGTCATCACACTCGGAAGGTACTGCAGGGATCAAATTCCTGCGGCCGTAGACACAGAAGTAAGGGAACTGATAGATACCATCATCTACACAGATGGATCCGTGAAGCGCGGATCAAGGTCAGCATAGGCATACACAGCGCAAAGAAAGGGGAAAACAATACATGAGGACAGCGGCGCTTACCAGACAACCTGTCAAGCATGACAATGGAAATAGCCGCTGCTTCTAGAGCTTTAGCATGGGTATCCGAGCAAACCGCCACACTCAGACTAAATGAATATGCTTCAGAAGATAGCAACAGGCAGTATGCGCTCTGAATGGATAGCAAGCATTCGGAAATCGCACTTAACCTCCGTAACCTGGATCTACACACCGGGTCATGCGGGCATGAAGGGAAATGAGCGAGCAGACCAACTGGCAAGCACTGCACTAATGATTGCAGGAAAAAGTATGGAGAGAGCAGATATAGTCAACGCTGTACGAACTGAGCTAGTGGAGAATGAGGAATCCCTGACACTAACACGATTGCATGACATGGGAGTTAAGCATGGTGATGCACGTCTTTGCCGTCTTCGAGGCCGAGAAAGGAGACAATATAACCAGCTTCTCATGGGGACAATTAGTAGAAGTACTTTAGAGTGGCTGCTGCTTCGGAGAACTGAGCACGCATGGGTATGCCCAATGTGCAGTGACATTAATTGTGATAACAGAACATAAAATAACATCTTAGTAGGGAGTTGGCAGTACGAAACCCAAGTTCAAGGTGTCTCCTTCGTGCCAAAGAACTGCTTGGCTGTTGGGTGAACAGTCGTTAATGATGGCAGGCAGGTCGTTGTAGGGGCGACGCCTGCTGGTGGATGTAATGTCCTAAGTCCCTTCCCCAGCTAATAATGAGGGTACTGCTGGGGTGACCATTTATTAACCCTCATATAATTCTTCCGGTCAAAATGGACGCTAGGTACGGCCACCTTTGTTTTTTTTAAAAGCCGTGGTAAATATTTTTTTTTTGGTCAGACGGTGGCCGTTGCATTTTTGCTCCATTTGTAGACTGGAAGGATGTAGTTTCGTCGCCCAGCTTGTGAGCTGCGTTTATTTTTTGTTGGCACAGGAGCGGAGCATCTGTGGGGTGACCCGTTTGCTATGAAGCTGAAACTAGGATTACCAGATAGTAAACCATAATTTGGTCCATGAAACAGACTCTTTTGAGCAGCTGCCAGTATCCTAAGAAGTTCCTTTGCAGCTGTGTAAATAAAATTATGAAAATTGTCCACTGAGTTGGGACAAATTTAATGAAATAAAGTTTATGTTGAATTAAGAATCGACATCACAGCACTCTGGACACTCACATAAGTGCTCAGTCTGATCTTTAGCAGCAAGCGAAGAGTTACGATTCCGATGGTACCAGTAACCATCTGATTGTATATCCGGCAGGTGCACTCCGCTCTAAAGGAAGCTCCCAATTAGTCAACTCTTACGACAGGCTTGTTGGGAAGGCAGTGAATCTGTTCTTGTTTTCCCCTCAATGGGACCCCAGAACCCACAAAGGGGATTTAATATTTGTTGATCTTACAGCTGACCATCTTAGTTTTTGACTTTGATACAGTAAAATGTGAGTTTGATTTCTGAACATAAAGACTGAAATATTCAAGCATGCAGCAGTGATATAAACAGTTGTATACATGAGACCATTGCTGCCGATGACCATAAAATGATGACTGCAGAGACTGGTTATAAGTTGAGGTTTGGCCTACGGGAACTCTTCTATGTGAGTCTGTGCGTAGTTCTGGGCTACCTCCTCAGAGTTCAAGATTCCTACTCACTCTACCCTGTCTGGCGCAAGCGCAGTGAAATGTCCAAGTTTGCCAATGGGAAGTTCATGACAGATGCTGACAGGTGTCCACTTCCTGTGGTGACAGATCTAGAAGGCGATGGTGTGAACGAGATTGTTCTTATATCAAATGACCTGCAGCATTTGAATGTCCTGGCAATGCCACCTCCGAGTGAGGAAGGAAGTAAAACACTTGCCCACGTGGTTGTGAAGGATAAGGCTGAGCTTTCGCTTGTGGAGAGGGTCAAAGGTCACAAGTCGAGACCTGCTGTGGTAGGCGTTGGCTTCACCGTGCCCTACACATCCATGATGCAGATAAGAAAACAGGTGAGTATTTAACTCTTTGTGCCCCAAGCGTCGCATTATGTTTGATTGGTTATTATTTATGTGTATGAACCTCCAATTGATGCCTCCAATTAGTCAACCCCTAAGACATGCTTGCTTGGGAGGCAGTAGGTCTATTCTGACTTTTCCCCACAATAGAACACGGTAACCCGGGGTGGCCACTACATTATAATGTTTCTTATGTATTGTGCAGTACTTTTTATATATTTTTTTAAGAAGTATACATTTAATGATGTTATTCTTGTCCCTCTCTGACATTAGAAAAGACCTTCTGGGATTGAAGGAGTTAGGAATAACAGTTGTCTATCTGAAGTCGTGTATATTAAATCTTTGAGGAAGTCCAAGTCACAAAAGAAGTCACCAAAAACAACATAACAATTCTATTTATCGATCAAGACTGATATTAAATTCCAAACAAAATAGGGGGAGTCATCAGTAAACACAAATGCACCAGAGAATTAACTGGGGAACATCTCTGGGAGTCTTGACAGGGAATCAAGATTGACCCGGTCGCAGGTTTACACAGTGACCAGTGGGAAAATTGTGATGTCGTCATTTTCATTAATTAAGCCAGCAATTCAAGGAAAACCCATCTAAATGCTAGTTTTTATCAGTTGAATGCCCTGGTTTCAACTGTCACAGAAGGCCATGCTGAATTAATGAACACAGATCAAAGAGAAGACTACACAAGAGATTGAGCCACACCAACACGAGCAGCCTAACAGCAATGAACACCAACTTGTACAGTGCATTGGAAAAAGCACACAAACGATCCTAACATCTCCCCCCAACACCTCGCTGAGGTGAATGGTGGAAGAGAAGAAGAAGAATCCTTGCTGACCCTCCTAAATGTGTGCACAGACACAAGCAATAACAGTGCTATTAGCTAGGCTTCTCGTGAAGGGGCTACTAGCCAAGCTGAGAAAATGACTTACGGAATTGGAGCCAGCCAGAAATGTTGGTTTTGCGGCTTCACAAGATAACAGTTTTCAGCTTCAGTTGTAACAGTTATCACAGAGCTTAACATATGATAGTGCACCTTTTTTTGAAGAGGTGCATCGGCATTCACAGATCGTTGTGCAGGAAGAACACTCCAGAAAGTTAGCGATGGGTTATTTATGACTACTAGCAGCATGGCGATGGGTGACGATGGCAGTGACACTAGTTTTCATGAGGCTGGAATCACAGGACTATTCCTGCATGTGTGTACAGAGTGATTCTGTGAGCATGATCCGGCAGGTTGAGGCAGGCTCTGTACACAGTCAGTGGATTCAGTCATTGTGAAACTTCCCAGTGCAAGCACTTATCTTCATCTTTGCCTCAGGATATGTTGGCGTTGTTAACAATGAAAAGGCTGTTATATTCACTGGTTATGCCTTAGTTATAGGTGCTTTTTTTTTTTTACCGTCTAAAGAGTTGTAAGGAATCTTCAGTAAAAACCACATCTCTGGGTCTCAAGAAATTGTTTAACTATTATTAATTGTCCAGGATTCACAGCCATATGTTAAAACTGGTTCTGTGTAGCATGAGAGAATTCTTTTCCTACTTTCCAAAATGAAGTTACCTGCATAAAATAGTAACTTTGCTTAACGATTATTTCCAGAAGTTTCCTCAGGTTCATGGCTTTTAAAAAAAATCATTTCTGAGACGAAAGGGGAAATGTCACACATAGTAAATTCCAGTGGACTAAGAGGTGAAGAAAATACCCGGACATTGGATAGGACACACATTGAGAAAACCGGAGAACAATAACTAGAATGTCTTTCCATTGGAACCCACAGGGGCATAGGAATAAATAAAAAGCCGAAAAACACATGGAGAAGGGAGCTGGAGAATGAAGCTAGAAAGACAGGGAGGACATGGAAAGAGCTGCGTGCGATAGCAAAGGATAGAGCGACTTGGCATGATTTGGTTGAGGGCCTATGATCTATTAAAGGCTAGAAAGGAGGAAGAAGAAGAAGTAGATTACAGTGTAAATATCATCTGCTTCCATTACAGGCCCTGGTAACACTGAAGATGCTCAGAGAGATAATGAGATGTTTATTATCTCTAGTATATTTGTCTCTGACGAATGTTAAATTTGTTTACCTTTGATATGTTCACCAGGTTATTGTAGTGGTCACAGATGATTGGCAGGTCCTCTGTTATGCCCATGACCTAAAACTTCTGTGGTATCAGCAGCTACCGCTACCAGTGTCAGACTTTTCTTCGGTTGAGGTTAAGGCATTAGCCGTTCTTGTGTCTCCATTTTCTATTGAGAAGAAACACAAAGGGCTCATCGTGGTTTCTGGCAGTTTTCGGCATAAAACCCATAAGCCAGATCTTCTTGCAGAGTAAGTTGTGTATGTGTATGGGTGGTTTCTTTTAATTTAGTTTGCATGTGGTAAAATGCAACTTAATAAGGATTTACAGAAGTCTTTTCTTTTGGGTTGAAAAGCACAGATATAGCAGAGCCATCCACCTTTTTCTTCTTCTTCTTGGCGTTCAACAGATGACTGGTATAATCAGTAGTGGAACTCTGTGCTGGCTGCTGAAGATGAGGACGGAGCACACATGGGAATGCATTGAGTGCTGTGATGTCAATTCTGGACTCAAGATTCAGCCGAACCATCCACTCTTTTCTTCTTCTTGGCGTCCACCAGCCGTAAACTTCAGTGGAAAGTTCTGGTTGTTTGCACACTTCTGGTTAATTGTCCACTTCTGGACTTTAGTCTTGTTTCAGAACTTGAGTTTTGCATGCACCTCCAATTTTACAGATCTGGCTTATTTGTACGCAGACTGTTGGTTCCTTTACCTCTCAGGCAGGTGCATTCTTACTTTGAAAGAAATGCCCCTAATTATTCAACTTTTACTTCGTTTTTATTAGGGGTTCAGTGGATCTATTCTCTCTTCCCCACCCCCCCCCCCCCCCCCCCACTCCATTTTGTTTCCAGTATGGGACGCCAAAACCAACATAAGGAGGAACCAACTTTTAAGATCTTCCTGTAAATTTTGTTGGGCCTATGCATTGCCAAGGGTGCCAGTCTGTCTTAAACATTATGGCTTTAGCACCCTATGCCTGATAACACCAGTGGCATGGAAGTGGTCCTTTATTTTGCTTATAATGGTGATAACATAACTTTTTTCTGTTACAAATTAAAATAAAAAAGCTTCTTCTTCTTCTTTTCTCTACTCCTCACATTGTCAGGACAGGAAGAGACCTCTGGAACGGGCCATTCTGTTTGCTTTGTGTGTAGTACTTTCTGGTATCTTAAACGAATGAACAAACTTTATTTTCAAAGGGTTACAAAGCCTCTCTGATATTTCTGCCATCTATATTCTGCATGGTTGGCCTCAGGCTCTTTTACCACTGTATTCGTATAACATTGCTCTCTGTAGTACCCAGTATGTTGCCAATCTTCTTTCATGGCCAAACCATTTGATCTTTTGTCTACTGAAAAAGTTCAGTATTGGTTCTGTGCAGACTCTCCTTCTGATTTCATCATTGCTAAGTCGATCTTTCCTTGTTACACTTAGCATCATTCATAAAAATTTTTTTCTATTGTGACTATTTTTTTCTGCCTTCTGAAGATGAAAGTGTCCATGTCTGACACTGATAGCATAGTGTTGGTAAGAATAAACGCTTTTTTTTTTCAATTACACTGATTTAAGTTTTATAAACATTTTCAGATTCAAAAGGATTGAAGAACCTTCCAGGAATCGAACCATTATCTTCAGCTCTGAATATGAAAATGAAACCTTGACACACTTTTCAACATTTGCACTCAGTGCAGAAGATGGTTTGTTTTTGTGGAAACACACATCTGGTGATTTTGAAAAACCAAAACAAGAAGAAAAGGTATTTGGATTTTTAAATTGCTGTACATTTCCGGTCTTTGTGACTGATTGTTACTGCAATCTGAACAGATCAGCGGGTGTCTTGATCTTCTCAGAACAAATCTTCACATGCAGCAGATTTTTCTGCTTCTGGTGTTCGAAACCAGGCGGTTCCCGGGGTTTACCAAGCTTTACCCAGTTAACACTCTGGGATAAATGGAGGAACGTCACTGTAGCTACTGAGCTGTGTGTGGACAGGCGACAAAGGCGAACAGTTTCTTATCAGCTGTTGGTACTGGTGGCAGAGCATTTTTGGTTTATAGCCGTGTACAGTGACGCTGGTTCACATCTCCCGACTTTACCTTTACCTTATTCTGCTTTTTCATCTTCTTCTGCTTGCACCCTTATAAGGGCAGTGTTGGCACTTTGTGTAATGGTTTACAGGTAAGCCAGTGGTCTGCTGCCAGAGAACTTAGGATGCCTTAAGCTATTAATTACGAATGCAACTACTGATGTGTTGTAACTGCTGCTTCCATTAACTATCAACTGCATTTCTAGTGTTGGACTGTTTGTGTTGGCACATCTGACTGCTGTCTCATGCACTTAATGGCGTATATGGGCTGTTGGATTTGCTGAGACTGCAGTCTGTGTCAGTTTTTATGAAAAGAAAAAGTGATGGACATTCCATGGGGTTTTCATAGGCACAGCTGATTTCAGGTAGGCTGCGATATCGTCACCTTTCCACCTACTACATCCAGTTTTAGCAGACCCCTAATTAGTCGCCTTGTACCACATGCTTGTGAGGCAGTGGTTTTATTATTTTCCTGCAGAATGAGGTCTCCAAAACCCCCATGGGAATAGTTTGTAGCAGCTAACTGTACCAGATCTCAGCTTTTTGTATTATTATATTTGATTGCCTACATATGCCATAATTGTAACTGACTCACAGAGCATGTTGAGAAAGGTAGAGACAGGTATGCTTCGTGCAGGGTGGCAAGCACCACTTCAGAGGTCCCGGGTAGTTAGCCTCCTTTAGATTTTAGGCAGATAGACTGGCTAGTGCTGTACCACTTGTTGGTAAATTGATGTATGTAAAGCTAGATGTTGTGAGGACCCTTTGGGAGCGAGTGAACAGTGTAGAGGTACAAACTGATTATTACAGTCTGAGGAAAATGGTACTGCAGGGAGTTACCAGGCAATCTGGCTGACTCCCAACACTCGAGGGAAGGGCAAGACGGATATACAATCACTTATAATTTAATACAATCGGTATCCCGGAAGCTGTGAAGTCAATTCTTAATTCAACATTCAGTATTCAACATTTAACATTCTACCTACACAACACGAGTGCTTTGCTTCGTATGTGAGATGTCAGATACCAGTCAAGGAGTCATTTGTTCTCCAACTTTGTCTTTTGTGGACGGATGATTCTGAAGAAATCTGGATTCCCTAGCAGTCTCTCTCATTGTGTATATAATCTATTTAAAAGTAATACTCCTGTGATTTTTTGGTACTTTAATTTTAGCTCACCTCAAACACGGGGAGTCTCAGAATACTCATGAAAGTCCAATATTATAGGGGTGTTACAATTTCAAATGAGCACCGACTAACCCTAACTCTATCACCCCTATAATATTGGACTTTCCAGGGCTCCCTGTGTTTAGAGTAAGCTAAAATGAAAGTACTGATTTTTCAGAGTGCTTGCCACTCTGGACATTTGCTTGCTAAACTTTCTGGGACTGAACAAAATTAATTGATTAACAACCCTGCTTTCCATTGCAGAAATCATCCAGTAGGAGTGACATACACTGGAAGCTAGCTCTGTGCCACAAGAAGGCACACAAGGGAGAGTCTCCCTGGTCAGACTATGGCAGACAGTTGGATGTGTTTTTGGTACGCTGCCCTACTTTACTTTTCTATCTGTCGTAAATTTAAAAACAAACATTAATGAAGAACCCTTTCCACGTCTTCAAACACTTTTGGCATAAAAGGCTAGACCTATATTTTATAGACCAATCGACACTTGATGGGTGATGTGGTCAGCATCATGCCGGCCGCCTTTACTTCCCAGAATTGTACCTGTTACCGACTCAAGGCTGGGCTGACCTAGGGACCAAGGCCTGTCTGTCATAGGACACAATAAAGATCATGATTTGCTTTTAAACTTTAAAATAAACAACAACAAATAATTAAGAGCAGCAATACCTGACTGTTTCCCTCCTACAAGCTGCTGACTGAGGATTTGCATCTGTGTGACATCCTGGCTGGCAATCCAACATGGCCCTGTTGAACCTTCTGACAAGTTATAATTAGAGCATCCTTGGCAGTTACACTATATACAAAAGGAAGTCTTAGTGGCAATATTGTCAAGCCATTTGCCGAATACACTGAGGGTCGTGGGTTTGTTTCACAGCTATGGTGGTCATTTCACGAGTGCAGTATTTAAGGAGACCCCTGGGGGATTGTTGCTGAAGCTACAGAGTTCATGCTTTCTGCAATGCTCATGGCAGGTAACTAGCCGTTCTGCCATATGGTATAAGACCGGGGGCAATGAAGTCGATCCTCTCTACTTTAAGTTTTAACTGTGCGCTACTGGTGTACCCTGCTATCCTGTATGTTTGAGAGTCACAGTTTTCGTGCATTCTCATGTAGGAACTCTGTTATGTGCCTACAGCTTGAGTTACTGATATTTTGTTCCTGTGAGGACCTGATCTAAACTAATTTAAAGACCTCTGACAAGTTAACAGGCAAAAGATAGGGTGTAGCAGGTCTTTTGTGGAACGTCGCTCTTGTCATGATCTGCCTCAGAGACGCTCAGTCTCACACCAGCTCTCCCGACTCGTACACTTTCCTACCTAAAGTACCACTTATATCCTGTGCCCGCCTTTGTGCTGGTTGGTCCCTGCCCCTTTATCCTGATACCTTGCCTTCTGCTGTTATTACCAATTTGCCATGAAGCCTGATGTGGCCAAAAGATTTCATTTTCTGGGACAAGATGCTGTTTGTTAACCAGTTTTCCTTGATGCTGAGATCTTTTAGGATCCATGATACGTTTCCTGTGATCATAAGTACACTCTGGTAGTAAACTCTGGCATATTGTATGAATTTTAATACTCATCAATCCACTACACTTTGTGAGTGGATGTGATCATAAACAGATCTAATCTGTGCTCTTCTTCTTTTGAGATTCACCCTTGAAAGGGCGGTTGGTAGGTGGTGTCATGGTTAACAGCTAGGCACTTTATGTGTTTTTACTTTTGTTAAAAGGAATTTGTAGCTGTCACTGTATGTGTACGTATTTTCAGCCTCATATGTGGGCAGACAACTCAGACACAGAGATCATCATGGCAAGAATCAACAAGCAGTTTGACACAGACATCAACGAAGCCCAGGATTCACATGAGACCAGCACTTCCCAGAATCCCTCAGCCTTGTTACCCGAGCATTTAATTGGCTTCTCCTATGGAGGTCAAAGGCCACACAGTGACCACGAGCATGTGAATAACCCAAATAGGTAGGTTAAAAGTGCATGACCCTTTTCCACTCCATGAGGTGTTTTAGGTATATGATACTAGCTGCATACTTTTTCAAACAAACGAGGACTTCCTGTCCAATATAGCAGATAGGCAGGCTGATTGTTTTAGTCTTGGCAAGTTATTTGCTGCTAGGCACAGTTAGCTGTTGCATTTCCCCCCGTGTGTAGACAGAAAGTATATAGTTCCACCACCCAGCTACTGAGTTATGTGCATGGTTTGACACTGTGAGCTGCAGGTTTGACTTTGAATGCCTTTTTGTCTGCCCAACATGTTTTATGTTGTAAACTGCAGATTCAGAAATTGGAGAGAGGATTGTTGCCTCAGAACTTGTTGTGCCATATGCAATTTTACATGTGCAGCTGCTGATTTATGTAACCACTGCTTTGTCAACAATGAACTGCATTTCTATTGGCTGACCTGTGTTTTTTTTTTCTACTTCTGAGAACTGCCTTGTTCATTTAATGCATGTGTATGCTACTGGCTTTGTCGAGTTCAGTCAGTTTCGATTGTATTCACAAGAGGTAGTGATGGGCATTCTGTCTGGTTTTTGATGGCACTGGAATGGAGCAACTATAGAGTAATGTGATGGACACAAATAAACATCTTAACCTGTCCGGTTCTTAAGATTTAGAGCATTTAGAAAATGCATATAGGTTTATAATATAAGGAAAATTCAGGCAGAGATTTTATATAGACCTAATGGAAATTATAAACAGTTTGAAATTATATATAGATGTATATACTTGAGAACAGTTGAAAAAATAAACATATTTGTGTGTATTAAAATGCAGGCTGGTTGTTAGGTTTAAGTGCAGGCTGTGGGATGTGTGAGTGTGTAAGCTAGTCAGAAGCTTTGTTCTACTTATTACGGTTTAGAATGTTTCCACAAGCTGTTCTTTTCTTCCGTACAAGGTGTTCCACTTGTCTGGTCTAGGAGGGAGTCGCATTCTTGTAGTCTCGCTGAGTTTTAGGCACTCAAAGAGATAGTTTTCAACAGTTTTGTAGGGGTAGTTACATGGTTGACACTCTGGGGAGTTTTGTGGCTGTATTCTGTTTAGATGTCAGCTCTTTCATTTCCTGTCACCCCGGCATGTCCCAGTGTGTACAACCAAAATAGTTTCTTGTGACAGGATATCTGGATGCAGTCAACTCATTTTAGTCATAGTTGGCCAGTTTACAAAAGATCATTGAATTAGCTATCAACCCTCAATATCATCTGCTTTTGATGAGATCATAACGGCAAAAACATAGTAGAAACTGCATAAAGAGGTATTCGATTTTATAACAGACCAAAATTATGTATATGATTGATGTGTTAGCCTAGTTATATTCTGTATTGTTTATGTATAATGATCAGCCTGATGGTGAGATCTCCTGAAGGCATGCAGGTGTTGTCGCTGGTCACAGGTGAGCCGAAGACTACCTTGTTGTTTCCTCCTGACCGGTCAGTGTATCTGGACATGGATGGTGATGGTCATCTTGAGAAGCTGGTCTGGGACCTGGGACAGGTAGGTCTTTCTGATGGACAGAGATGTACTTTAACTCTTTCAGGCCCATTAATTTTGACAGACTTGGCCCACATTAATTTCCCTTTACAAAAGTGGCAGAGGGGTGGGTGTACAAGTAAAAGGCTGTAGAGATTGTAATATACTTCTAATCCCTATAAAAGTATATATTTTTTAAAAGAGAAATGAATGTAATTTTTTTAATCTGATGATAAGTATTTGTTTGATTTTGTTATAGTTAGTGGAAAAGAAGAATTCAGCAGGTATTAATTTCACAAGGGGGACAACATTTCACACAAAAATTCTTCACTTACCATGGTTTTGCAGCCACAAGAGTAGTAAATATCCAAATTTGAGAACAAAACTTCAAAGTTTGTTCAATTTCCTAACATATTCTAAAGTTATGATAACTTTCTGGGTTAGTTTATCACTCAGGAGCTCTTAGTTCTCACCAAGTGCTAAGCAAAATTTCAGAGAAAAAATGGCAGAAAAATGAGCCATTACACACACACTATTTACTATTAACTTTGTAGTTATTTACAGACTGTAGCTGCGATGATTTCAATGTAGCTTAGCCATAATATAGTACTGTCTCTTATTTTAGAGCACTTTCCTTCTCTTACACCATAAATACGGTAGTATGGGACATTGTCTGTGTGATAAACTCATCAGAATCGCTAGATTCCAAACAGCTGATCGCTCAGCTTCACTGGCGAAAATTCACCGTCCGAATCACTTTCCAAAAAATCTACATTTAAATTATCATTATCACAATTAAAAACATCTGACTGAAACAATTTCAGAGCTTCGGCCGCAGAAAGACGCATTCTGCGACCTGTTCTTGTGGTTAGAACATTGGTATTCATGGCACTCAAGAACAAACTTAGAAAATGAACTGTTAAAAAAATGTCGCCGTTTTTTTCTCTCAAATTATCCACGTGTGGTTTAGTCCAGGAAATGAAACTAAAAGGATTTCGGCAGAGTGACTTTCCCTGAATAGCTAAATCGTACCTCCAAACATTATAAACTAGTACGAACGCGCGTGCGAAGCAAAATGTAAGGGACACACGATCGACGATGACACCGTTGTTTGGGCAGAACGGAACATCTCAAACTACGCTCACACCATTGTTTGGGCCTTAAAGAGTTAAGCCATTGAACTTGGTGCACATAAAACCAAACCTTAATTATAACTGAAGCTGTTTTGAGTAGGGTTGAATGTGGTCGACTGTTTTCTTTTTTAAGAATGAATGAAAAAGATGTACTTTATGTTATCTTTCTTATTTCTTTTTTTCTGAATATCTGCTCTGTGTCGCCAGCCATTGCAGTTTAACATTAGTAGCCAGGGAGTGCTCATTTTCTTGCTGTGCTGTGATCGTATGAATTTTCGTGTAATCAGTGACTTTTTTTTCTCAACATAATCTATATGCTTAGAATACCTTGCACAGCCAAAAAGAGCAACCAAGAGGTTTTGAAAAAGGCGGGAGCCCGAAGACAACTTATCACAGACATCAGAAGGGGACAGTCATCATTTTTCGGCCATGTTATGAGAAGAGGGAAAATAGAACATGTTGTGACCACTGGAAAGATCTGTGGAAGGAAGGACAGAGGAAGACAACTAGAGAAGATACTTGACAGTCTTGTTGCATGGCATGGAGGTGTGTCGGCACACGAACTGATACATGCTGCAGGAGACCACAGATTGTGGAGAGGCATGATCGCCTATGCCAGTCGGCAAGGCACCTGATGATGATGATGATATGCAGCAAAAACTTTATTTAATTCTGTATGACAGCGATGCAAAATTGCGCTTGTCTCGAGAGCTAAAATATTTTCGTCATATTAAGCACCACGGCGGATTGGAGAAAGAAATACAGAAGATATCGTACCAGGAAGTAGGGGCAGGGGCCGATTAACACAAAGATGGGCGCATGATGTAAGTGACTTCTTGAATGTGAAAGTGCATGTAGCGCGAGACCTGGAGAGCTAGTGAGAGACCGAATTTGTTTCATGTGATGAGAGCGACGTTCTGCAAAAAACTGGCCAGATGATGATGATGACAGTGACAGACACTTGATTTAAATATTACCTTTATGACAGTTTATTGAACATAATCTGTATGACAGCATTACAGCCCGTGTTACGTGGATGTCTGGCGAATCAATCCTGTACAAGAGAGGCTGCAACAGATTGCCTTGTGCTATAGTAAACGGATTTTCTGGAGCAGATCCTGGAGTCTAGAGGAGGACGTCTACAAGAAAATTCCGCCCAAGGTCATCAAAAGGTGAGAGTTTTTACAGGTATATTGCACCAGCTGATCTGTTTGCCTTTCTGACTTCACAAATTTTGTTTAACTTGATGGATTTTTTTTGAGTTTATCAATTATTTTTTTTTTTACTTGATGGATTTGGAGGGGTCTCAATGGCTAAATGATCAGACCATTCTCCTCATGCTGTGAAGGTTGTGGGTTTGTTTCATGGACTGCATCATTTGGTTCACCAGTGCAAGATTTTGAACTTCCGGTGGACAAGGCACACATGCCATTGTCACATAATCAGCAAAGAAAGAAGCAGACAGGGCACACATGCCATTGTTACATAATCAGCAAAGAAAGAAGCAGACAGGGCACACATGCCATTGTCACATAATCAGCAAAGAAAGAAGCAGACAGGGCACACATGCCATTGTTACATAATCAGCAAAGAAAGAAACAGACAGGACACACATGCCATTGTCACATAATCAGCAAAGAAAGAAGCAGACAGGGCACACATGCCATTGTTACATAATCAGCAAAGAAAGAAGCAGACAGGACACACATGCCATTGTAACATAATCAGCAAAGAAAGAAGCAGACAGGAAACACATGCCATTGTTACATAATCAATAAAGAAAGAAGCAGACAGGGCACACATGCCATTGTTACATAATCAATAAAGAAAGAAGCAGACAGGGCACACATGCCATTGTTACATAATCAATAAAGAAAGAAGCAGACAGAACACACATGCCATTGTTACATAATCAGCAAAGAAAGAAGCAGACAGGACACACATGCTATTGTTACATAATCAATAAAGAAAGAAGCAGACAGGGCACACATGCGATTGTTACATAATCAGTAAAGAAAGAAGCAGACAGAGCACACATGCCATTGTTACATAATCAGCAAAGAAAGAAACAGACAGGACACACATGCCATTTTTACATAATCAGCAAAGAAAGAAGCAGACAGGGCACACATGCCATTGTTACATTATAGGCAAAGAAAGGAGCAGACAGTATAGATAAAGAAAAGACAGTGTGATTTTTGTATTTCATTTTTATGCTTCAGTGTATGTTGTCACCATCTGTGGCTCAGACGTTGCTAACACGCTTTGTAATGCTGGGGTACCAGGTTCAGTCCCAGCTACAAAGGATTTGTCTTGTGTTGGTTTCGACAGTGGTACTGAGAGCTGATTGTTTAGAAAGCAGTGGCAAACTAGTGAATGTAAAATTTGCCAAGAGAAACCACATTAGCCAAAAAATGCTGGGGTTAGTTCTGCAAAGTCCTGTAAAGAATACACAACTATTTTTTAATGGGGGGGGGGGGGGGGGGGTGGTGGTCTCCATGGCAAAATAGTCAAACCGTTTGCCTTGCGCTTTGAAGGTTGTGGATTCTTTACGCGGCTGCGCCCTTCAGTTCATGAGTGGAAATTTTATGGAGATCCCTGGGGATAGCCACCGGAGCTACAGAGCTTGTGCTCTGCTCGGTGCTCTCGTCAGGTGGCTAGCCATTCTTTGGAGAGAGACCGAGCAGTATGGGATAAAACCCAGGCAATTAAGTCAGTCCTATCTACTTAAACTTGTGACTTTATTGTACATATATTTTTAGTGTTGCCAGAAAGTCTGGAGTCCTGCATCATTTTCTGGGCCACAGATTATTTGAGGAAAACACTTATGACATCATTACTTTTGGTGGTTTGGGTCGTGTTAGCTCCATTGGCATTGATGGAACAATTCATTGGCAGGTAAATGTGTTTTTTTCTTCCTTATGTCACTGTCTCTCCCTCCCTGTACCTCTCTCTTTCTTTTTCCTCTTCTTTTTCATGTTCACTGGCTGTAAACTCTGGCAGAAAGTTCTGTTTGTTTGTCCACTTCTAGACTTCAGTCTTGTTCCAGAACTTGATAAGTATTTGTCTCCACAATGAGGGTTGGCTACAGCGTACTCTTGTTGTTTTGGGAATGTTACTTGTTGAGGCCCCAATCGCCTCTACAATGCAGCTTCGTACCATTGTTCAAAAGCCATGAAAACTTTTTTTTTCAACTGTCAACCTCGGGGAAGGAACCCTAGTGCTTGAGGATCATGAAATTGTTAACAGCTTTCGCTTTCCTTTAAGCGATGAAGCTGCACTAGTTTTGCTGCTATTTTTCTTTAAAATTCCACAGACCCGTAGTTCTTACTTCTTGCTTTGATTCTACAAGTCTCATTCACTTCTGTGTTTGCTCTTACAAGGGCGGTTAGCATGTTGTCTTGTGGTTTGCAGCTAAGCTGCAATATCTGCACTTTTTGGCTGATTTAAGCAAAACACCAATTCTTCTTTCCCCCTTTATCCCCCAATGGAGCATAGGCATTTAATCAACTCATGCCAAGTTGTCCTATCCTTTGCTATTGCTGCTCGCCCAATGTCCTCCCTGTCTTTTTAACTTCACTCTCAAACTCTTTTCTCCATGTGTTTTTGGGTCGGCCTTTATTTCTATGCCCCTGTGGAAAAAACCTTAAGTAGAGATCTCTTATAACATTATTTTATGTTATTTTAATTTTTTTTTTAAATTATGTACAGAATATGAGTGTGTTTAGAAAGGTGGAGACAGGCATGCTTTGTGCAGAGTGGCAAGCATCACTTCTGAGGTCCCGGGTAGTTAATGTCCTTTGGATATTTTCTCCAGGTGATGCTGCTGTCTGAAGAAATGCGCAGGAAGGTAGACTGACTGCTTATGCACCACTTGGTGGTGAATTTATCTATGACAAACCAGATATTGTGAGGGGCCCTTTGGGTGCGGAGGCACAAATAGATCATTACGGTCTGAGGAGAATGGTGCTGCAGGGAGTTGGATCTGGCCAACACTCAACAAAAGGTGAGGCGGTTGTACAATCAGATAGTTACTGGTACCATCGAAATTTGAACTTTTCGCTTGCTGCTGAAGATGGGGACGGAGCGCTTATGGGAGTGTCTTGAGTTCTATGGTGTTAATTCCTAATTCAATATTTTATAACATATTTGTTCGCAGGCTGTTGGGTCTGTTATTTTTTCCCCCTTAAAACGAGGCACCAGAACCCACATGGGAACAAATCTCATTGACTATTTTCTACATTTTAATCATCTTCACTCGTCGTATGTATTTCTTCCTGTTTTCACCTTGCAGACTGCAACAGAGGCCAAGTGGGCTGATCTATCAATGAACATGAGAAGGGCCGGAGGTCGACCTGTGCCAGATGAAATCAAAGAAGAGTTCCTCCTCTCCTTCCAGCCCAGTCGAGTTATAATGCCTTTGAAAGAGGCTGGTGCCAAGGTAAAGTGGTTATTGAAATTTCTTCTTCTCTGTGTTCAAGGGCTGACAACTCCAGCGATAACTTCTGGTTATTCATCAACTTCTGGACCTTTAGTCTTTTTTTTCCAGAACTTGCTTTTGCATGCACGTCAGTTTCACAGATCTGGCTTATTTTTACACAGACTGTTGGTTCCTTGCCTCTCAGGCAGATGCACAGTGCCCTCAAAGGAAGGGAAACTTCATTCCAGGCCCAGAAAGAGAGTGACTTCCCTTGCCCATTCATGCAGCCGGTGGTATCGCATATTCAATAATCCACGATGTGAGGGCTCTTAATAGTCCCAAAACATCTGGAACCCTAACCCCACCTACCCCACAGCCTCAGCTTTCGTCCCGCGACTGCATGCAACCTAGGTCACACGACTTTATGCAGCGTATACTATAGGCCTCTGGCCAGTGATGACCCCCATTTCAGAATTTCCATGGCTCACAGAGTCACACCAAACAGGCAACTCAGTAGCTGGTCCAGAAATGGTAAATGAGCGTCAGCAAAACCAAATTGGAAACAAGTAACTTTTTAGAGCATCTATGGTCAGCCGGCTATCAGCCATTTTGTCAAGAAGTCCAACACTTATGTTACCTTGTTAAATAAAAATCTTAGAAGAGACAGAACAAATATTGTTACATTCCAGTGCAGTAAATAGAAAGCACATGTCAAATTGTTGCATGATTTAGAAAATGTATGTCTTCTTGTAAAAAATCAAGACAAATGTAAAATATGTCACATTGTTTCATTATCAGTAAAAGAGACATTAAAAATGCATGTTTTATAAACAGCACAGAAAGGAGAAAAAACACACATCATATTGCAACATAGTCAACACAGAAATTTAAAAAAAAAACTTATACCATTTCTACATAATCAACAAAGTAAGAGAAAGAATGTGAAATGTTGAATTAAAAATCGACATCACAGCACCTGGGACACTTCCATAAGTGCTCAGTCCCCATCTTCATCAGCAAGCAAAGAGTTCCAATTCCCATGGTACCAGTACCCGTCTGAGTATATATCCATCTCATCCTTTCCCTGAGTGTTGAGCGTCGGCCAGATCTCCTTAGACCGCAATAATCTGTCTGCGCCTCCGCACTATTTACAAAGTGAGAGAAAAAAAATACATGTAACATTGTTAAATATTCAACGAAGAAATATTTTTTTTCAAACCCACATCATACTCTTACATAAATAACAGAAAGTCATAGAAAACATAAATTTTTGCATAATCAGCAAGGGAATAGAAACAGATATATATTATGTTGTTTCCTCATTAAGACAGATGTCTGGTGTTACTTTTTTTATTTAATAAACAAAGAAAATATTAGTGTACGTGCCATTGTTACATAATTAATAAAGAAAAAGACAGTGCATATGACATTGTTATATAATATTTAAAAAAATTTCAGACAGTACACATACCATTGTCACATTAATCGGCAGAAAAACAGACACATACCATTGTTACGTGATGAATAGAGAACAAAACAGTACATATAACGTTGTTACATATGTCAACAGAGAAAGAAACAGATCGTACACATGTCGTTACGTACTGAATAAATAAAGAAACAGACAGTATACATGCCATTGTTGAATAAGTCAACAAAGACAGAAACAGATATTACACATGTCATTGTTGTGTAACAAAGTAACAGACAGACAGTACACACATGCTGTTGTTACCTAATCAACAGACAGACAGTACACATGTGCTGTTGTTACATAATCAACAAAGAAACAGACAGTACTCATTGGCTGTTGTTAGACAATCAACAAAGAAACAGACAGTACACATGTGCTGTTGTTACATAATCAACAAAGAAGTAAACTGACAGTGCATGTTACACAATCAAAACAGAAAGAAACAGACAGGACACACATGCCATTGTTATATAATCAGCAAAGAAAGAACACCAATACTGTAGTTAAATAATCAGCAAAGAAAGGAGCAGGCAGAACACACATGCCGTTGTTACATAATCAGCAAAGAAAGAAACAGACAGGACACACATGCCATAGTTAAATAATCAACAAAGAAAGAAATAGACCGAACAGACATGCCATTGTTACATAATCAACAAAGAAAGAAACAGACAGAACACACATGCCATTGTTACATAATCAACAAAGAAAGAAACAGACAGAACACACATGCCATAGTTACATAATCAACAAAGAAAGAAACAGACAGAACACACATGCCATTGTTACATAATCAACAAAGAAAGAAACAGACAGAACACACATGCCATTGTTACATAATCAACAAAGAAAGAAACAGACAGGACACACATGCCATTGTTACATAATCAGCAAAGAAAGAAATAGACCGAACAGACATGCCGTTGTTACATAATCAACAAAGAAAGAAACAGACAGGACACACATGCCATTGTTACATAATCAGCAAAGAAAGAAATAGACCGAACAGACATGCCATTGTTACATAATCAGCAAAGAAAGAAACAGACAGTACATTTAACGTTGTCTGTGAACTCATCAGGCAGCAGTGGCTGTATCAGGCTGGAACACACTGGCTGTTGTGGATCTCGTGGAGGGGACAGTGCTGGCTCAACACTCTATCCCTGCACCATCAACTGGACCTCTGGTCTATGGAGATTTTGATAACGATGGTTTGATGGACATCATATTGACCTGCAAAAAGGGGTGAGGACATATTGAATGTGTTGATTTCATTTCTGCTCCTTGTTTCTCTTTTGTTACCCTTTGTGTGTGTTTGTGTCTATGTTTAAAAGAATTTTTTTTTTATATTCTTCTTCCTAAAAGGGCCGTTGGGATGTTGTGTTTATGGTAGGCTGTTTTTTTAATAATTATTAATGGCATCCTGTCTCGGAAGCTGAAATATTTTGGTCATATCAAGTGCCATGGTGGATTGGAAAAAATAATAGCAGAAGGAATGGTACCAGGAAGAAGGGGCAGGGGCCGACCAACATTAAGATGAGCGCAGGATATAAGTGACTTCTATGAAAGTGCATGAGGCCTGAGAGCTGGCAATAGATCGAGTTTCTTTCAGGCTGACCATGTTGAGAGCGACGTTCTGCAAAGGACCTGCTATATGATGATGACGTATTAATCATTAAGGAATTTACATATTTTAAGAACAGAAGAAGATATAGGACTTAGATTGCATAAGTGATAGTAATTAATAAATATTAAAATCTCAGATTACTTAAAAAAAGTTTCTGCCATTTCCTGATCTGTCCTTCATTTTAAAGCTGAGGACTGTCCTGAATGCTAGAAGTATTTTTATGGAGAACCAATCTTCTTGAGAACAGCTTTATTCTTAATCAATCATTCCTAAAAGTCCCCACATTCTCTTTAAAGTTCTATAGGACAGACTTCATTGTTAAAACACTCCTGCTTTCATCTTCATCTGTCTTCTGTTAATGTGTTCCTCTTCTGTCTCATTAAACACTTGCTTTCATCTGTATGCCACACAAAACAATTTTTTTAAACCAGTCCTTGTGAATCTTATGATTTCTTGTGCACAGATACATAGGATTCACCATGAAGCTGCAGCACAACTACGAGCTGACAGTTCTCTACACGATTTCAGTGTTCCTCCTTATTATCTTGATTTCCTGGCTCATTTCTGCGTCCTCCCAGAGTGAGAGTGGCAGCGAGAAAGATGATGATGATGATAATGACGAAGAAGAGGATGAAATGGATGACGACAACATTGGCACCTATCCTGTGAACTGATTATTAGCAAGGGAAGTAATGCTGGTAAAGGCCAGAAAGTAAATTAAAACCTAGTTACCTGCCTTGACAGTATTTTAGAAAAAAAATAGTGTGCTCTTTTGCAACCCTGTATTCCCCAATGGACATATACTTTCCCATAACTGAAGCTAATTTGTGCAGCTTGCTTCATGTCCTTCCTTTTTTCTAGGTAAAAGGAGGTAAGATGACAATCCAGACTAGATTTAGTTTTAAATGAATCTTCTTCTTCCATTCTTCTGTCAGAAAACTTATATCAGGAGGCCTGTAGTCTTTATGATTGTGCAGTCCATATCACCTTGTGTACCATACAGCTTTGTGTTCATTGTGGTTGCAACAGGCCAATTGCGTCTCTGTTGTCAGCATACAGGTGACATTGTTGGAGCACATGCTCAGCATTTTTGGGGTTCATGTATCATTTTGCAGATATAGATGTCTTTCCCTTTTTATCTTGTAAAAAAGATGTGGGATAGTCAAAACTTTACATAACCACTACACTATTGTTGTTTTGTTATACATCACATAAGAACTCGAAGTCTAGTCTGTTCTATCCTGTTCGTTATCATATGGACCCGTCGGAAGAACGGACAGAGAATCCATACATTGAAAGACCAGTTCAATTTAGCAAGGGGCGGAAGTTCTGGAAGATATTCTTCTTCTTTGCATTCACCATCTGTAAACTCAGGTGGAAAGTTCTGGATGTTTTTTCACTTCTAGACTCTAGATCTGTTCCAGAACCTGAGTGATACGTGTACATCTGTTTTATAGACTGACTCATTTGTATGCAGAGTGTTGTCTCGTTGCCTCTCAGGCAGATATATTCCGACCTTGAATGAAGCTGACAGCTTGCCAATTCTTACGACATGCTTTTGAGCAATCAGTGGATCCATTATTATTTTCCCAACAAGGAGGCCCCGGAACCCACACAGGAATAAAGATATTCAACACTGGGGGGGGGGGGGGGGGGGGGGAAGAGAACATAAGCAGACCTTTAATAAGGTTGCAACTGGTACTATTTAGAATGTCGACAGTTCATTGGCTACTGAGGAAGGGGACTGAGCACATGTGGGGAATGTCAGTTCTTGATTAATTCCTGTACACTTTTCATCATAGACGGAATCCAGTTTGGCACCTTTGCCTCTCATCAGCATCCATCTCTTGTTTCTCTTGAACATTCTCAATCAAATTTTTTTCCTCTATTTAAGTGCGTGTATGGATCCTTGTTGCTTTACAGATCTTCTGGTAAAATTTAATTCTTTCAGCTTGATCGGCTGATTTATTTGTTCATTTCTTCTTCGTGTTCACCAGCTGTTAACTCTGGTGGAAAGTTCTAGGTTGTTCATCCACTTTTGGACTGCAGTCCTGTTCCAGAACTTGAGCGTTTGACAGATCTGACACATTTGTGTGCAGACTGTTGGTTCCTTGCCTCTCAGGCAGATGCACTCCGACTTCGAAGGAAGCTCCCAATTAGTCGACTCTTACGACATGCTTTTGGGTAGGCAGTGGGTCTATTCTTGTTTTCCCTATAACAGGGGCCCGGAACCCACACGGGGGTGTTCATTACTGACCTGAGGTCCAGGTTAGTAGGTTGAACTGGCTGTTCCAGAATTGTTCTCTGAGAACAATTGTTCATATTTGGGCATATTTGTTTCAGGAGTAAGCTGTTAGTCAGAGAAAACACATTCCTAAAAAATGCCCTTTTGTGTATAAGGCATATAGTGCTAAACCTAAATTTTATAGACCAGTCGGCACTCGGTGGGTGATGCAGTCAGCATTATGCCAACCGCCTTTACTTTCCAGGACTTTAGCTGGCACCAATGTAAGGCTGTGTCGACCTGGGAGCCAAGTTATTGGTTGTTTTTTTGTGTCAGGCTCCATTCGGATGTAAACCCATGACCTTCAGATCCGCAGGCATCTAGTCGCTGCATGGCAGCTCCAACATTCCGAAGAATCAATAAATTTTTTTATGATTTGCATTCAGTGGAGTTTGACAGTGTGTGCATGCCATCAGGTATATGAAACATTTATGTTACAGTATGTAAGGAAGAACAGTACAACTTTCTGAAAAGATCACTGTTATGTAATTTATTTAATTGTGGCTGAAACATGCCTGTAGTTTTTCTTGTATAGATTCATGTTTGATTATTGAATGTCTTGTGTCTGTTGAATGTAATTACCAAACGTGCTTCAGTTGTTTTGGAGAATCTGGATATTCATTGTTTTATAAAAGTATTTAATGTAATTCCATATTTTATACGAACAAGTAAACATTGTTTTTCCCACTGTATGTTCTATATATTAAGAATGAGAGTTATCAGGTGGCAGAAAAAAAAGTAATTAATGGCTTCAGAGAGAGAGAGAGTGTGTGGGTGTCTGGGGGGGGGGGGTGCGGGGGGAGACATTGAGAATAATACTGGTACGCTGAAGAAAGTAAAAGAAACAACTGAAATATTTCAGCAACATTAAAAGATATAAAACCCTTGAAGCAAGAGTTAGACAGTGATACAAGATGGACCAGGAATAAATGCTCTTCTCTCAATCACTGGACCAAAAAAATCAAATCAATAGGTCAGGCAGTATTAGGTAAGGCAGCAGATAAAACAAAAAATGATGCGTTTCCTTGGGACTCAAAGAGTTGTTTGGAAAAAACAGAAAGCTTATGATTAAAACAAAAACAAAAAACTCAGCTTTCCTATAAAACTTGAATTCTCTGCACTCTATGGCAGTGAAACTCAAGTCAGCTTATTTGCACCAGGAAAAAAGGCTAAATAACTTTCACTTGTGATGCCCAAGAAGAATATATGGCATTAAGTGGCAAGACAAGATCACAAATACTGAGGTACTTAAAAGAGTAGGTGTCACAACCGTTTTCTAAATGCTCAGTCTCCAAAGGCTCAGGTGGCTTGGCCATACTAAGAGAATGGAGCCCATGCGAACAGATGCATGAAATCCTTAAAAAAAATAAGGACTAGCTCAGAAATGCTACAATGAAACATTGTGCATGTACCATCATCATCATTATGTTCCCTGCCAACCGGCGTAGGCGCTCATACGTCTCCACAGATCACTATCCCTGGTTGACTGGAACAGCCATCGTTTCAGCCCATCCAGCATCATCTCTCTTGGTCATGAAACATACAATGCTTAAAACAAAAATGGACTGAAAGCCAGTGGGCATCAACACAAGAGGTGCTTACTCAGACATAGAGTCGTTCATTACTTATTTGGGTGCATACTTGAACTGTTTGTTTGCCATGTTCTTTTGTGTTGCATGATTTTCTACCACTAGGTGATAAAAGTTGGATGACAATTTACCTACTTCAAGCTGAGTCCACATTTCTCATTCTCTCAGATACATTCCTGGGTGACATCTTATTTTACACAGCTTGATCTTTCTTTACAGGACTGAAATGTGACTTTACATGGCCTAAAGCTTAATTCACAGGGCTTAGTTTTTTTTTTTTTTTCAACAGGATAGAAATGTAATTTACTGGACAGAAATTTTACTTTACATAACCCAAACCTTACTTTACAAACCCAAACCTTACTTTAAGAGCCTAAACTTTATTTTGACTGGACCCGATTTTACAGGACTAAAATCTTATTTTACATGGCCTGGAACCTGGAACCTCACTTTACCTTCAACATTTCTTTACATGGCTGAAACATTACAGTATGGAACCTTACTTTACAGGACTGAAACTTTACTTATGGGTTTGAATCTTAGATCACCAATTGTTAAATATGTTTTTTTAAAAAATAATTTAAACTGTTTTAAAGTAATCATCATTGAAAACAAAGATCTGAATCACACTTTAATGGCAACTTATAAACAAGGAGGGAAGTTTGAAAATCTATTTCACTGCATGTCCATGTGTGTTGACAGCCGGAGAAAAAACAATGAACATAAAATGGGATGATTTCAGGAGGGGTGAAGAAGTAAGTGAAATGCAAAAAAAAAAAAAAAAAGAGGGTAAAGTCGGGAGATGTGAACCAGCATCACTTCACACGGTTATAAACCATAAGTGCTCCGCCACCAGTACGGACAGCTGATAAGAAACTGTCTGCCTGTGTCGTCGTCAGCACGCAACTCCGTAGCTACAGCGACGTTCTTCCATTTACTTCAGAGCGTTAACTCTGGTACCCATTAACTAGAGGCTGGGTGAACCCCGGGAACCACCTGATTTCGAACACCGCCCATGGACTTCAGCGAGTTGCAACTGGATTTGAAAGCAAGTCTCCTATCGACTGCGCTAAAGCGGCCACCCAGTGAGAGAAATGTCTAGGCAGCCGCTGGTATCAACAGTTATATGACAGAGAAGATGGACGCATTCTGAGAAAAGACAAAAGAGAATCACCAACAGGCCAAAAAAAAAAACATCCGCCCTGATGCAGATTTGAACATTTTCTTCTTCAGCGATTGCAAAACAGTCCATGTAGATAATAGATACAAAGCATGAATGTTTTAAATTCTTTGTTTGTTGCTTTCAAGTCATAGGTTTTGATGCCGCAAAATATTTACATGAAATAAACATGACAAGAAGGTACTAGTCTAGTTGCAATGTGAGCCTGATCAAATGATAATTTCTGTGAAACAGTCACTGACACGACTGAATTCGATGTACACCACTGAATTTGATATACACATCCTTACACCACTGACAGTGATCCATATATCACTTAAAGACTACAAAAGCTAAACATTTTTGTCCTCCAATTGTCATGCACAAACTGCATGAAGACTGCACACGCTAACCACAAAACCTGACCAGTTGTATAATTTGCTTCTCAGTTACGCTCCAACTTTGATAAGCTTCATAGAAGCAGCCATAAATATCTTGCAGCTTTCTTGAAGTATCTGCAAAACAGTCACCTTGAAGGATGCACACTGTGTGCTCAATAACCTTAATCACAGGAGCAGCTTGGTCACTTCATTTAAGTGATATATTTTCCCTCGAAATTATCTTCAGGTGAGATTACGATGTCCCTCACTTATGATTATCAAAAGCTGGGCAACTCATCTCAGCAGTTTCACAGCAAGCACTGCTTCCATTCAGCAATGTGAACAGTTTAAATGAGCAAAGATGGCTGGCACGCTGGTAGCTTCTTTAAAAACCATCATAATGTTGCCAGGATTCGAGAGTAAGATATCACCAGCACCAAGAAAGTCTGGACCACACCGCATACTAAAGCGTAGAAGGGCATCACTAAAAAATCAGACGCACGGAATACACCAGCTATTGCAGCACCTGGTTAGAAATAAAATCAGCATTTTATTAAAACATGCTAAACATAGAAATGCAAAAGAGAAATTAAATCATATTTGTGCCCTATGATTGTAAACATATTTTCATGGTTTGTGGGATATTCAAAGACGTTTGACTGTGTACAACATCAGAAACTTTGGGAAATCATGAGGAATATGGGCTTTCCGTCACATGTAGTACACCTCTTAACAATGCTCTGTCTAGACCAACAAGCAGTGGTTAGAATAGATAGCGAGAGATCAAACTGGTTTGACATCAAGCAAGGAGTCTGCCAAGGCTGTGTCCTGTCACCCTATTTGTTTAACCTGTATACCGAAAATATCAAGAGAAATGTGAGGGATGATATAATCAGAGAGCAATATGATGCCCTAAATATCGGTGGTCATGAAATACAAGAGATCTGATATGCCGATGATACAGTATTGCTATTCACATCACAGACCGGTAAAAAAAACTTAATAACCTCAACCCTAAGAAATGGTGAAAATCACAACTTATATCTTAACAAAGTAAAAACAAAGATAATGCATTCAGTTAAAACTACTATGGAGAAGAAATATATGTTAATGAGGAAAGATTTGTGGAACATTCTGAATATCGCGGGTCATTGATGACACAATGAAAGAAGTTAACTGACTATCAATAGCTCTTCAAAGATTAAAATAACTGAAAAATTATGGAGTGGGACGGGCAGAACTACAAAAATTATATTTCTAAGAGCATGCATCCTTTCCATAGCAACATACACCTATGAGACATGGACAGTTACTAAAAAGGCTGAACAGCGTACAAATGCCTCTGAATACAAATGTTATAGACAGGTTCTAAGAATATCACGGGTAAAGAAAATAACAAATGCGTCCATACTTCAAGAACTGAATTTTCAAGAAGGTTGGTTATTACAAATGATAAAACACAAAATTTAAACATTTTGGTCACAAAAGTTTAGAGAGAACAATAATAGAGGGGTATATACCTGGGAAGACAGGAAGAGGAAGGCCAAAGAGAAGATGGGTGCAGGATGTGGCAGATGATCTCCAGACGGGTGTATCTGATGCAGGACATCTTGTCTGTGATCGAGAAGTTTTCCAGAAGATTGTTAGGGCAGCAAGGTTCTGCAAAGGATAGGTGTAATAAACCTTGGCTTGACTAGTAATAACCTTGGCTCACTACATAATGACTTTCGCCACGGCTCACTCTCTGGATGTTTACTGAGACAAACTTGCACTGCTTTAACGTCTAGAGTTGACAACACAAACGCCGCTCAGCTTCTTTGTACATTCTGTCAGTTTATTCATTCACATATGTTCCACAAGTTCCCACAATTATATATACTTCTCTCGCTCACGACATACTCAATTACTGGTCACACGCACGACATTGGAACTCCATCTTCTGTTTCTACAACCGTCTTCTCTGACTTCTGTTGATCGACTGACCCCGAGTCTAGCTCGGGCTTCCCCTCGCTTCCTCGACTAGACCCAATTATCTCGTGCTGTCACTTGTAGCAAGGACTTTCCGCAGGCCACAATGTACTCGTGGAGACCAGGCAAAGCAGGGTCATTACAATAGGCTACTGACTGAGTGAGAATTTAGATATCTGCATGGCCTATACTCTAAAAGCTAAGTGAGATTTATGTTATCCTGGTCCTCACAGGAAGTAAAGAGGTGACTAAGGGTAGGGTTGGGTTTGGAGTTTGCTACATCTAACATAAAAAAAAGGCCACAAAAACCAATCAAGCATGGAACATACAGAGTCACCGAAAAAAAGGCAGACGCACATAAAAATGGAAAAAGGAGCAATAGAGTGAAGTTAAAAAGAAGGGGAGGACATGGGGTAAGATGCATGCTACAGCAAAGGATAGAACAACTTGGTGAGAGTTGGCTGAGGATCTATGCTCCATTTGGGGATAAAGAGCAGAAGAAAAAGATTTTTTTTTTAAACTTTCACTTTATTAATTACTCGAGTAATGTTTATTGTAAGAAACCCCCCCCCCCCCCCCCCATGTTATTACAGGTTCAAGACCCATTTTTTTAAAACATAGTATTCACGAAGCAAAAGGGTTCAAACATCACATTATTCATTTCTCTAGGCTCAAGCAATTCAGTACTCTAAAACTGAAATAACCTTTTTCATGCCAGTAGAATATCGGGCATATCATTTTAGACTTATTTTTACAGGCGATTCTGGTCAAATTGGACGTTAGGCACGGGCACTGTTTAGAGCCGAGGCAAATTTTTTGCTTCTGCCAACGATGGCCGTTGCATTTTTGCTCTATTTGTAGACTGAAAGGATAGAGTTTCGTTGCCCAGCTTCTGAGTTGAATGCATGGTGTGACACTGTGAGCTGCGGATTTCATGTGGAATATTTTTCAACTATGACCAACGTGGTGGTTTGAATTGTAGATTCACAAAATGGTGCAATGCTTGCTGTCACAACATTGGTGGTGCCATTATGTGATTAAAATTGATTGCGTGTGCAACTGCTGATCTGTTGGTGACTTCTGCTACCATCAATGATGAACTGCATTTCTAATGTCGAACTGTTTGTGTTAGCACTACGGATGGCTACCGTACGCTTTTAATGCGTGTATATGCTAGATATGCTGAGACAGCAATCTTTCCACATGGGACGGTGATAAACATTCTTTGTGTGTTTTTTGTTGGCACAGGAGCGGAGCAACTATGGGTTGACCCGTTTGCTATGAAGCTGAAACTAAGACTGCCAGACCAAATAGACGATTCAGCCCTCAGTTAGTGATGTGGTGAACACCATCCAGCCATTATACATCCTTGAACATTTACTGATACCCATTTTAGGATGAGAAAGCCTAGAAGCCTACAAATAGTACACTCATATACAGTTTACACAGACTTAAAACACATTATATTTAATAAATTCATTGAAAACATGTTAACCAGTTTAATTGTAGTAAGTTTTAAGCATTAAAGGACTATCAACTTACTACTGATGACGCCCCCTGTAAGTGGAGAAAGTACACCCATCGTCAGGATGGCCACCGGAATCCAGCGGCCAATTCTGTGTTTCCGCAATCGGAGGAAGGCAATCAGAGCTGCTACAATGTGTACAAATAGTGAAGAAAACAAAGCCCAGAGGAAGACTTGGTACCAAATCTCTGGAATAAAAATGTAAAAATTTTTTTTTAGCAATAAACACTTATTTGTGTCAAAATACTTATCTCATCATGATCCTCTTGTACCTTGCTGTATTGAGGTGAAGTATAATTTACGAGAAAGTGCCTGTTCGTGTGCTTCATAAATGGAGATTCCCAGGGACTCTGTAATTCTCTTTGTCTATCACCTGCATGGTCGGCCTCTTCTTCATTTCCCAGCTGGTCTGCACATTACTGCTTGCTGTGATATAGTGTCTGCTGACATCCCTGTTATATGGCCAAACCATTTCACCTGTCATCTTCTAATGAAATCCAAAGCTGCTGTTAATCCCATTTTCCTTCCCATTTCATCAAAGTACAAGTACCAAATTAAACATATCTATTAATCTTTTTCATATTCACTGGTTGTTAACTATGGTGGAAGTTTCTGGTTATCTGTCCACCTCTGGACTTTAATCATGTTCACGAACTTCAGTTGGAATCTGCATCGGAGGACTCAGTATGCATACAATGTGCAGGGTCATCAATTGTGATAAAAACATTATGTCAGAATTATAAAACTATGTAAATAACCCTTAGGGTTATAGGGCAGAAACACTTAAGTAACAAAAATAATTGCTAATGGAATGCAAACTTCCTGTGTGGGTTTCAAGGCCCCATTGTGGGGGAAACAATAGACTCACTGCCTCCACATCATGATGTAGGAGTCAACTACATCAATCAACTGCCTGAGAGGCATGGAACAAACAAAAAGTCTGCATACAAGGAAGCCAGATCTGCAAAACGGATGTGCACACAACACTCAGGGGCTCTCCTTGCAATAACGGTCGCTAGTTGGACGGTGATGGCCGCTTAGTCGGGGTTCAGTCCCCTGGCTGCAGTGCAATTACGGAGTGGAAAAGAGGGAACGACACAAATGACATAATTAAGGGTAGGGTTAGGCTAATGTGAGTCGCAGCGTGTGGTGTAGACGCCATGTTGAACTCACTGTGTTTTGTGATTCGTGCCTTGCCCACTCCGTAATTGCACTGCAGCCAGGGTACTGAACTCCGACTAAGCGGCCGTCGCCATCCAAGTAGCGACCGTTATTGCAAGGAGAACCAAAGTCTGCATAAAAAGAAGCCAGATCTGTAAAACAAATGTGCACACAACACTCAGGTTCTGGAACAAGACTTAAGTCCGGAGGTAGACTAACACCCAGGACTTTCTGCTGGAGTTTACAGCCGATGAAAGCCAACAAGAAGAAGGATGCAAACCTTAGTTAAGTGTATGTGTCAGGCCTGTATTTAAACCATACCCAAGTGGTACGCTGACAATCACAGCTGTACTGTTGGATTTTTTGGCTCTCCTTCTGTCGAACTTATTTCTTTATTTTTCGTTCAATCACAGAAATATAAGTGAACTGATAACGAAACAATAAACTAGTTTAAGTAAAAGTAAGACAGGAATTTGAAAATAACTCACAACTGGGATCAGGAAGATCCAGTGTAAATCAACGTGAAGAGTGAAACTGGATATCATAAACTACTGACTGTATTTCTACTTCACTGCCATGATACTGGGTAATAAATATAAATAATATAACGTTAACACATAACACTTACCAACAAATGTGTCAATATCATCGTTTGGAGACAGCGAAATCACATTAAGAACTGAATCGTGAGCCCCAATAAAATCTCTCCTCGGCATCTTGTCTTGTTATTGTTTCTTTCACTCAAGTTACAATTACTGGCCTAGCTGGGTAAGTCCGCGTAACGTTCTAACTCTGATTATTATAGCAGTTTAACTAGTTACTAGTTAAAATACTACTATGTTAATTAGTTAAATAAGCAAGGACTGCTGAAACAATTGTTGTCAACATCAACAACATGATCTCGTAAGCTGACACCAGAGTCGGCCATAGCGAAGCGGAAGTTGTTATCAGTCACGGTGTTCGGCAAACTTTGAGCTTCCGTTTTAGTTTTACACAATCCCTGTGTGACTGACGGACTTACTTTCTACCCCACTAGGACATCACACAAGCGATAAACACCCGATGACACAAAGTGCCACCATGTGGATGAGAATCGCCGTGGAGAGGTCACAGAAACCGCGTTTAGACAATTGGCCATATTTATGGCCTGCCTATATTGCGGCCCCTGGCAAAAGCCAGAGCGGGGCTTCAAGTAACAAAAAATGTCGTCCTAAAAAGGACGAAACTGGAAATTATATTATTAAAATCCCTGTGTGGGTTCTGGGGCCCTTTTATAGGGAAAACAAAAATAGACCCACTGCCTACCCAAGCATGTCGTAAAAGTTGACTAATTGGGACCTTCCTTCGAAGTCAGAGTACATCTGCCTGAGAGGCAAGGAACCAGCAGTCTGCATACAAATGAGTCAGATCTGTAAAACAGATGCACACGCACAACTCAGGTTCTGGAACAGGACTGCAGTCCAGAAGTGGATGAACATCCAGGACTTTCCGCCCGAGTTTACAGCTGGTGAAGGCAAAGAAGAAGAAGTTTTACACAAGATACCGTCATCGTCAAGATCAATTTCCACTTCTGCCGTTAAGCGTTGTGGGGAGGAACAGTTTGCGATCTACTGATTGGTGGTGAGCAATGGTTATTGTCCTGCCGTGTCGATGTAGAAGCTCTTTAATGTCATCAATGCCTAATCTCCTGTGGAGGCCTCTTGCTTTCACTGCAGATTTTTTTCATGTGTCGCGCCTGCGATGTTGGTTGTTTTTCTGGCTGCATTCTTATTAGATAACCAAACCATTTGATCTTCTGTTTATTAATGAATTTGCTGCACGGTGTTATTCCTACAGTCTTTCTGATAATATAATTTCTAACTTTGTCTCAGATGATTAAGCTGGCGGCTTTTCTCATGCATCTCATTTCGCGGGTAATTTTACATCGGTTAGCATTTGATAATTTCTAAGTCTGGCACTGGTAGCACAGTGTTGGTATAAGAAAAGTAAAGGTAAAGTTAAGGTCCCTTTTCAACGCCTGGGTGTTGTGGCAAAATCACACCGACCGCCTTTACTTCCCGGGACTGTACCTGGTACCTAGTCAAGGCTGGGTCGACCTGGGAGTCACGGTTTTTCTTTTTTTAAAGTCCAGCAGCGTCAGGACTATTCGATCCGCAGGCGGGCGTCTAGCCGCCAACGCCACAGCGACTACGTGTTGGTTTTGAAAAGGTTGTTTATAATTTGTTTCTTGACGCTCATACTTATGTCTTTAAGTCTTAATAACGGTGTCAGCTGGTATGAAAGTACACTGGCTCGTTGGCATCTTGCTTCTATTTCCCATTCCATTCTAACCTCCTCTGAGAATATACTTCTTAGACCTTTAAATTGTTTAACTTGCTTCAGACAAGTACCATTTAATCTCCATATGTAGCGGACTAGGAAGTCTGCTGACCAGCATTACTTCGATTTTAATAGTATTTGTTCGTATGTTATGTCTTCTGTGTGTTGAGCTTAACCTGTTCAAATGTTCTTGCAGTCTACTCCCTTCACAGTAGAATAGGCACTGATCGCGTGCACTAATCGCAAACCAGCGTCAGTATTTGTTGGGTTTTGTGGTTTTACTTAGCAATTTTACATTCAGTAGTTTGCCATTGCTCTCTTAATTGTCGATACTTTCCCGTGTGTGTTTCTGGGTTCCACTGGGGAGAGAGTGAGATGAGTAGACCCACTGTCATCCCCACCACCCAACCACCCTCCCGTAGCATGTCTTACAAGACGACTAATTTGAGATGTTTCCTTCGAAGTCGGAATACATCTACCTGAGAGGCAAAGAACCAACAGTCTGCATACGAATAAATCTGATCTGTGAAAAAGGATGTGCACACAAAACTCAAATTCTGGAACAGGATCAAAGTGCAGAAGTGGAGGAACAACCAGAATTTTCTGCTGGAGTTTACAGCCGGTGAGCGCAAAGAGTAAACAGATGGTCGACGATCAAGCAGATTTTCAAGTTATGAGTTCTGAATTATGAGTTGGATTATCTTCACAGCACTACGGACTCGTCCATAGGTGCTCAGATTCCCCCTTCAACATATTGGCTAACTGATGAAAATGCCCGGGTACGAACCTCCACACAGAGCCACGCCGAAGAAATATAGCGGGCACAGAGCAAGCAGACGACCACATCATCATCATCACCATCATCATAATCAAGCGCTTTGTCGACTGGCGTGGACGATCATGCCTTTCCACAGTCTGCGATCCGCAGCTGCGTGTATCAATTCATGTGTTGACACCCCTCCATGCCATGACAAAAACTGTCAAGAATCTTATCACGCTGTCTTCCCACTGTCTCTCTTTCCACAGATCTTTCCAGTGGTCGCAACGGCTGACTGACTGACTGTCTACCCCACCAGGACATCACATAAGCGATAAACACCCGATGACACAAAGTGCCACCATGTGGATGAGGATCGCCGTGGAGAGGTCCCAGAAACAGCGTTCAGACAATTGGACATATTTATGGCCTGCCTATATTGGGGCCCTTGGCAAAAGCCAGGGTGGAGCTTCAAATAACAAAAAATGTCGTCCTAAAAAGGACGAAACACCTATTGTGCAGTCGATCGTTATTGTTGCCCATTTTTTTTTGTACGTATGAGTTTTTCGAGGGGAGGATGTGGTAGCCGGCCAAGCTGCCACAGCCTCTTAATGTTCTAAATAAAGTAGACATGGGGCGGATGTCCTAGAGAGGTGTAGATTTATCTGCTGTGTATTATCTATCAATCAAGTGATGTCTCCAAGTCAGTGTTGCCACTTTTCTTTGACTAGAAAACATCCAGAAAGGGGTAAATATATATATATATATATATATATATATATATATATATATATATATATATATATATATATATATATATATATATATATATATATGCGCGGGAAACATCTAGAAAAAAAAACATCCAAATAGAAACAGTCACAACTTACATAGCTATTGATATGACTTACTCTATAGAATCACGTCCTTAGTTAGATAGTTAGTTAGTTGGGTAATTATCATTGCACTCCGGGCATGTCCATAGGTGCTCAGATCGTACCCTCAGTATGAACCGCAACGTCAGGGGGCTAATAGTACCAGTTCTATGTTGATTAACAAGTCTTCTGGTGTGCCTCTCGTTGTTTGCTATGCCGATCTTAATTCCCAAGTCTGCCATTCTGGCGAGTGATGTGGATTCACTGCTCCCAAAGTCCTCTATCCTTCCCATTCCTCTGAGGGCATTAATAATATCATCATGATCCACAGGCTGACCATCGGTAGTGATAGCGGATCCAGCCAACCTATCAGCTCTTTCATTTCTATCGACGCCTGCGTTCCCAGAACAAAAATAAAGGTGACTCCACGCACAGTGGACTTCTGTAAGGATTCAAGCCATTGTCTTCGCACCGAACCTGCCTGAACCCTCCAGATCATACTCATTGAATCACTGAGTGCACATACGCGTTTGTATTTTTGTGTTTCGAGCCAGGCGTCACTGCCATCACCTCCATCGTCATGCTGCTGGTTGTCATGGAGAAGGCGCCGTTGGCTTCTTTAACTGTTCTGCCCGCTGAGCGTGCTGTGAATGCCTATGCGCTTCTTTTTGGGCGTATAACGGATCCGTCTGTGTAGATTATTGCACCTGCTTCGTCTGAATTTTCACTGATGAGAGCGTTGACCTCTGCATTAACAGAAACAGGATTCTCTTATCTACATCGTCTGTTGAGTGTGGCAATACAGGAAAATATACAAATAAACGCATGAGGCACAGGTATCCATTCTGCGCCAGGTATGATGTCGGTTAGGCTGCATATTTGCCAAATAACATCTTCGGCCATATGATGCCACATTCTGGCCATAAAATATCCAAAAATATCCGAACGGTATTCAGTCGTATCTAAAATACGGACTTTCTGCCAAGGAACAAATCGCGGCAAAACTAGGATTACTTGACAATCAATATCAACATTGCACACGGTAGTAGCAGACGATAAATACCGACCGTTGACAATTTTGAGCGTCTGTGCAGACGATACTAGGAGACGATATTAGCGACCGTTGACCAATTTCGAGACATTACAGACGATGAAAGCAGGATTTAGCAGCGGTAGATGTCAGACTTGTCGGCATGCGCCAAAACGCGATTTAACTCATCGCCGAGTGTATACCGCGCGCCGCTACGCGCGGCGCGGATTGAGGGGGGGGGGGGGGGGCTAAACTAGGTGCCTTGGACTCACGAGTAAAGTAATTGGAGGAAGTTGCAGGAGATGAGGTAGCTACCGCTCGTGAGTCCCAGCCATCTAGTTTAGTCCCCATCCACGCCGCGATGCGCGGGGGATACAGTCGGCGGTGAGGCACACTCGCAGAAGCAGGTCCGCATGTAACATATCGCTGAGACCCTGTTAGAGCATTTGTTTCGTTGTACGGAGCCGGCATATATATTTTTTTATAGAACTGAGCCCCATTCGGATATTTTTGGATATTTTATAGCCAGAATGTGGCCAATTTAGTTCTCTTTCGAACGGCATCATATTATGGCCGCCATTTTATGGTGCCGTTCGAAGTAGAGCCACATCTTCTGCCCGACCTAGCCATGATCTTCCCCTCTTCAGCCTTTCGCCCTTTTCACCAAAAAAAAGCGCTTGATGCAGTGGGTGTTTCTTATCAGCACATATTTTAAGGTATGCCCGAGCTCTCCAG